TTTTCCAATAGGGAATACCAGAATTCCTGCTAGGGAGTCCAGTGGCAGGACCCTGCCTGGTTAGAGCTGGCACCTTGGACCCAGCTGGATGTGGCTGACCTCCTGGCCAAATGGGGTCAGCCAGGAGGACATGCTTTGACAGTTCAAAGCAGGCCACCACACCCAGAACCTCTTCCGGGTGGTGCTCAGGTGGCTGGGCAGAGGGCACACATGGCAATAGTGCCGCACAGAAGCCAGCCCTGCAACCACAGTCCACTGGCAGCTGGCCCAGAGGGGCAGATGCCTCTACTGGCTGTGCAGTCCCCATCTGGGTCTGGCAAGTGGGCAGCAGGTCACAGCCAGGGAACAGCTCCCGCTGCCAGACTGCTGCAATGAGTAGAGTGTGCAGGGAACTCTCAAGGCTGCTTCAGCAGTCCAGCTGGCACAAGGGGTAGTGTCCCCAGATACCAATTGGCTGGGTTGCAGAAGCTCCTGAGAGCCAGTAGCCCTGAGCTACTTGCCAGGGTGGCTTTTCATACTGCTGAGGCCAGGACAGGGTAGCTTTTTATACTGCTGGGGACAGCACAGGTGCTGGCCCCAGGCTCTAGCTCCCACTGGCTGCAGATCCGGGAGAAGCCAGGTAGGGTTATTTTGCCCCAAGTGGTACAATTTGCTCCACACCAAAGTGCATGTCTGAGGCCATGTGCTGAAGCAAAAAGCCCCGGCTCAAATTTGCACCGCTTCTATTTGAGCTGCTGCAAGTGCACATGATTGCATATGTGGACGTACCCATAAAATAAAAAATGAGAGATTGTCTTCATAGATTAAAATGAAGGAGTAAAACAAGAATAAAACAGGTACAGCACATTCACAAGTAAACACATCTATATACCAAATACTGTCTTTATTTTTTAAGTATAGTAAGTGCAAGATTAGGTCATTTTAAAAGGTCCACAGGAGGAAAAGGATGGGGTTGATGAGTCTAGAAGGGGCTGATGGGTTGGCAGGGAGAGTTGCCTGGTCCAGGAATAGGGGTGGGAGTAATCAGAGGGGCTAAAAGTAGCCTGGGCATGGTCAGTGGACAGTGAGTAGGAAAAGGACAGTCCCAGGTATAGGGTACGTGGCTGGGTTTTCTGAGCCCTAGGAGCTGTGCTGTAAATATGTGTAGGCTTTCCATAGATGGGGTTAACCCATTTTAGATCTAGTTAACCCTAATCAATCACCTGCTAAGGTGAACTAACTGAGACCACGCATACCATTTTTGGGCAATTTAACTCTGTGTACACCTACATGCCTGGGAATTTAGCTCAGCTCAACCTTGGTTAGGTTGATCTAAATGCAGTACTTGTACTTACCCATAGTATGCAGCCTGTTTCAGGTACCTAAACTCCTGAGGCAGGCAGGATTTCAGACATACTGGAAGGTTTAATGTTTATTATTAATTGCCTCAAAATGCTTCTCTTTCTCCTCATTTTTTTCTGTTTAGAGTATCTAGATGCCTAAACCCAGTCAATTTAGATAGATCATAAGCAAAGCAAATTGGATCTACCCCAAACCTACAAGTGCAGTGAGTTAGGTGACTAGCATATATGTGTAAGAGTAGACTAAAGTGGATCATCAGAAAAAGTAATTCTTAATTTTATCCAGTGTTGTTGTGATTGAATGAGATGACAGGTGAAGGGAAATGCATGGAGAGAAGTTCTTCCCAGAAGCAGAAACCCAAAAGAACTTGAAAGGTACACTGTATTTTTGTTTGTTTCCTTTCCTTGTTCCTATTTTTAAATGACGGTTTTCAAATTGAAATGTAAGCCAAAATATAAAAAAATAGTATGTCTATGAATGTAATGTAGTGATTTACCAATGGAGTGAATTAGCAAATGAAAGGGGGTTTTGTTCTGTTTTGTTTTTGTTTAGGTCTACATGACCTCTGTCTTTACCCATGGTGATTTCAGAGGCTTTTCAAAATGTGAAAAAAATCCCATATTCCATGTAGGAGCATGGTCTTTTCACCTGTGGAATTTACTTAGGGGAAAAATACCTAATCGTTAATATCAAAGGCAGATTTTATTTCCTCTGATACACTGGGTATTGCTTCATCGAGAACATTTGGCTTGGATTTTAAGGACAGATTATCAGAACTCAGTGGTGAACCAGTAAAAAAAGGAGAATACTCCATTTTTTGTTTATCCACAAGAATATCTGTAATTCCTACTCATGACTACAATTTTGCATGGGATAATTGGTTTATTTGAAAATTATGCTGAATAAAATCTTTAATAATTGTACTTCTGGGAGATGAAATGAAGATATAAATCTGTTTCTGAATCTTAATAATTTTAGCCTGCCCTTGAAGTCTATAATATTTCATTACTCAAATTAAAAAAAATAAATAAAATATTTTTTCTATATTTTTTCCAGTCAAAAAAATATATATTTTCTTAGACAGGGCTGAATGGCATGGGAATGAAGGAGAGTTCCTTTTGCATTCTAAGTATATTTTGAGTTGTAAACTCTCATTTCTGTTTTACTGCTAATCTATGACAACAAACATCAGAACACTCTTTACCTGGCATTTGCTGGTTTTAGTGAATTTTATCCTCTTTTTCTTTTTTCTTTTTTAAAGAATTTCTATTTAAATAAAGTAGTGAAATTTATTGTGGGTTGCCAGAATTTCATTTATTTGTTTGTGCCAGACCTTACTTTCGTATGATTCATTATGCAGAAGGAGGAAAAATGATGTAACATTTCTACCTCTAAGAATGAAAATACACAGCTCTAACTTAACTATACTTTATGCATCTAATGTGTAAATATAACTATAGTATATTTAAAAGTTTCCCAAGGGATGTGGGTGTTAGTGTGCATCTAAGTTAATAGCTTTGTTCTTCAAAGGCTTTATTTAAATTATTCATGATCAAATATTATTAGAATTATATTAAAAATTCTTCTGCTCCTCACATATAGAAACTGTTTATATCCATAACTGCAGGTAATATTAGCAGTGGAATAAGGTCCTGGGTTTTCTTATAAACTGAAGTACAGGAATTTATTTCTTTTGTCAACAATTTGACTTTTCCCTGAGGAAGATATGCAACTAAATATTGGGATCCTTTATTCTACTAGATATAAACCAAATTCTCAATAGAAATCCCTATTTTGATAGCTCTGAATGCTTCTCCCATATTTAATACAGACACTTTACCCCATAAAAAAGTGATTTAACTTTCTCTGTACAAAAAAACCCCAAAACTAACAAACCACAAAAAAAAAAAAAAATTGTGAGAGGCAGCTTGTAACCTTGGAGACACAGCAGTCATGGTTTTTGTCCCCAAATGTCACTCTATATTAACAACTTAAAACATTTTTTTACATTTTATTACTATAAAACTTGCAGAACATTTAATTTATAGCTAAGATTTGTATAGTGAACCCCCTTGAGGATTTTATTTATATATTTTGAAATACGATATTTTCTTAAAAGTGTTGTGTTATACCGTCCACATAGAACTATTCTTACCTCTGTCCTTAACAGAACATTTAGCTTCAATACCATACAAGAAAGCCATGAGAAATCATACTATTTTAAAAGCAAATCTCCTTTAGCCATTTCCCTTTGCACCAAGTTATGTGATGATATGAGCCATTGCATTAATATGGATATTTACACAATAGAACATTGCACTTGAGGTATTCTAAAAAGGATAAAACTCAACACAGCAAGAGGGTAGGCACTTATAACTCCTTGTTAGAGCTGTGGCACAAAGGGAATTGGAAAATGTGTATTATTTGCAACTTTTGCAATTAGAACTGCATAATTAGCCTTGAGTGATTTTTTGAGTTACAGCAGCCTGCTGCAGCTGTCTATGAGCCATAGTTCTTCTCATACCCACTTCTCATTGTCTCTAAAATGTCCTGCATGTCCGGGCTTTGAGAGATTATTTTCTGAGGGTAATAGTATGGCCATATTCCACCTATCTCCTAGCCAGATATATATTTTAGATTGCCATTATGCCTTCTGGTTCTGTCATCTGGAAAAGGGCTGGAAAGCTCTGACGATCCCATTCTCATTCTGCACACAGTTTATGTAGGGCACTCCGGACACGTGTGGCCCACAAAGACTCTGTACACACCGTAGTGCTTTACACCCCTTCATTTTGAAACAAAATATTTCACAATATCCCTAAACTCCATGCATCCATCCATCCACACACCCACCTACCTACCTACCAAGAGTGCCCTCTTTCTTTTTCTTCTGTGAAGTAGTGTCTATGGTAAACTGTAAAGAAAACAAAAATCCCACATTCCCCTTAAATATGTGATGGGGAGTGGGAGGGAAAGGCCTAATATGGATTTATAGACAAACATTTTGCTCATTCAGGGATCATTTGAAACCTAAAACAGTATTAGTTCAAAACTGGACTTAAAGTTGACCCATAAACACAACATTATTTTGAAGACTAAGTAGTACGCAGCACTATAATGCTACATTTAAAAATGAAACCAAAGTATCACCACACTGACCTTACCTAAAAATAAAATGCTAATTTCAAGCAGAGTTCTGAAGTGATGCCTCTATAATAAAGCTAGTATAATAACCAAAACAAAATTTTTTATTATACTCAATTAAAATGGGTCCGTGAAACTGTTTCTGTGACATCCAAGCAGAGAAGAGGCCATTAAAAAAACCCTTGAAATTATTCTTGAGACAGATGAGAAAGTATAATGGTTATTTTAAAGTTACGTAAGTGTCTTATATTCTTAAATATTAATGTGGGTTTTGATTTGGTGAAGTAAAAGGGTCTTTATACACAATAAACAGTAGATTTTCCCTTATTCATATCCAGTTTTCGAAAAAATAGAGTCCGATCCAGCAAGTCTTTTCTAACATAGAAATCTTAAGTCCACTGGACTTCTGTTCATGGAAGACTTATAGAACAATCCATTAGCTGAGTTATACTGCAGATGCCTGCCAAATAAAAGTCTTAAAAGAACAAGCCCAGTCATTACTGTTGTTTCCATACCTAAGCATCTTGTTTCGGTTCCACTCCATAGTCCAGAAGAGAGACATTCCCTTACAGCAGAGCCAACTAGCATATATCCTGAATCACATGTAAATATAGCAGTAGATCCATATGTGATTTGAGTTCCAATCTTATTTCCATTTGGAGGGGTAGGTAGTTCTCCGCAAGATATAACTTTAAGATACAAAAAAAGGAGCATCATATTAAAAAACTCACTAAATATATATTTTTAACCAGTTAAAATAAATACTGGAGGTATTCTGTTCTATGGCGAAACTAGAGAAAAATCTGTGAAAAACTAGAAATTATATTCTATGGACTCATGATAAACAGTTTTAGAAAATCAGTGTTATGAAGAGACCTCAAGGCTTCTCTGGTTCAACCACCAATATTTCAAACTAACTCTTTAAAACCATTTAAATAAATAGTAAGAGTACCTTACGTAACTACAAATCATTACTCTTTAATACTATTTCTGCGTGTAGCACTTGTATACATGTTTTATTGCTCCTTTTGTGTTTGCAAAACAGCACATTAAGTTTCTTTGGAAAGAACTTACTTCATTTTTAACTTGTAGTTCACAATACAACACATGCTCTAACATTTATAAAATACAAAGTCTTAGTACTGAATGAGTTGTTTTGTTTTTTGAGTCCCTTGTCATATTAATCACAATCCAGAATATTTCCTAATTCAAAAGTTCATAATGCTGATTTAAACAAACAAACAAACATAGAGATCATACTGCTGAGAGGATATATTTCAGTCCTAGCACTGAAAAAAATTAGTTGTTCAGGTAAGTGTGAAGTCTCTGTACAATAAAAAGGGCAGGGTTTACACCATTTTTTCCCCTAGAAGAATTGAAAAAAAAGTTTTACATACAATATTTTGACAAAAACAAACCTATATTATTTCAACACAACTTTCATTAAAAAAAAAAAAATTAAAAGCTTTCCAAATCAAATTTGAAATTTCCAGGAGGATGCAAAAGTTCTTCCCCTCTGCCTGACAAAATTATTTCTAAATATCATAAACTGTCGTATTTTGAGTCCTAATTTAATTGTTTTAGCATTTAATTCTAATTTTGGATCACTACTTTTGTGTGCATAAATAAACTGATGTTCTTTTTTAACATACCGAAATAAAAACATCCCCAGAATATAATTGCAAAGGACCATAGTTCATCAGCATCTTTCTGTACTCATTATGTTTAAATATACACATACTAAAAGCAGTGATGTACCTCTCTTTCCACAAAAGTGTTAGATTTTTTATACTTAGTTTCCAGGAAATTCCATAGGGACAGTATTTCCAAACTGTCTAAATGTTAAAGTAATTTTAAATGAGCAGATGCTCATAGATGCTTCCTTTTAGTTACTTAAGACTGAGTAGCCTAGTTGTTTAAAAGTACTTGTTTCCATTGTGGTTCTTATTTATGACCTCTCTCTCTTCAAGCACATATGGCTAGATATTAACATTAAGATACTGGCTTCTCTTAGGAATGTTCATGAAAAATAATTTATCCCAACTTCCCTATTCTGCAGAGGGAATGACCTGCATTATGGCTAACACTCAGAGAGAACAATCCCTGTTACCTGAGAACACAGGTGGACATTGTACCTGGCCCCTGGAGAGACTGTGCAGAGTGGAAGGAGACCCGCTTTGTCTGACACACTCCCTTCAGTGTCTCTGTGCCATACACTTTGAGATGTTAGTAGTGTGGGAATGGGCCTATTACCACAAGTTTAATCCACCTTTAATTAACAATAATAGATATTAGTTAACAAGAACTGACAGCAGAAATACCCATAGTTATGATGTAGGAAGTATTCTGCTCTCCTAGCCAAACTGAAGAAAACCAATAAAGAAAGCTCATATAACACATACTCACTTTGGCAGTAAGGCCTCTCATTTCTCCAACTCCATGTTCCATTGGCAAGACACTCGATGGACGCTGGTCCCAAACCATAATAGCCTGGATCACAGCTGAAAACAACTTTTGTTTTGTACTCATAATGTGAGCCATTCACTATTCTCCATCTCCCATGCTCCAGTGTGAAGGAGTTGATGCTTGGACAAGTAACAACTTCAATAAAAAGACAGTTAATTGTGGCTCAGTAAGTTAACAGTTACAGGAAATACAAAATGCACGATTGTTTTTGTGAATACATTGTTAATTTTTTATCACAATGGCTTCATATTTGGACTCTGATATCTTACTGCATAACCCACAGCAGTTGATGGAAGTTGTGTAAGCGGGTACTTTTATCACTGAGTCAATACTGACTTAATGAAAGGGGAGATCAGACACTGTGCTCTTGGTAGGAGAGGAAATTCTATCTTTAGGATCTAATACAAAACCAAGAAACTGCTTATGGCCATTAAATCTTATAGAACTTTGCATTAAAGTAGGGCTGTTCAGTATAGTCTTGGCTACATTTCAATTTAGAAATTACTTTCAATCTATATAAATTCCTTTTCTGATTTTTGAATAGCTATTTTATTTCCTTTTTTTGTGATTTAAGATTGCAACTGAAGAATGTCATTACATTCATTTCATTACAGATGTGACTGAATACTGCTTCCTTTTTCCATTCTCCTCTTGACATAAGAAAATGTCTACAACTTACTAAAAACCTTGTAATAGAGTTATGGGTATAGGGTATGTTTCCAGGGCATCTGTCTTCTCCCATCTTTCCTTAACAACAGTGGATGAGGACTCATCTACACTCGGACAGGTATCTCTGCCTCAGTCTTGCAGTCCCTTTGGGTTTACATAGCTAATAACTTTGGTTGTTTCCACTTATCCCTGTGAGACTTCAGGTACATTTCCTCTTTGATATCCACATAGTGTACACATCTACATGAGCATATTAATGTGACACAAGAGATGCTGGCACATATTGTGCTGCAGTTGATTGTTCCCACGTGTCACTTTTACATGTGTGCCCAGGACTACAGCATGTTGAGCTGGGGTGGAGCAACCTCAGCAAGCAGGGGGCCCAGAGAGTCAGCCTGCCAGCCTGGGGCTGCTCCAAACTGGCTCAACATGCTGCCAAGGAGCTGGCTGGGAACAAGAGTGCTTCAGTACAGGGCTAGCTGGCAGGCAGCCACCATACTGAAGCACACTGAAGTATTTACAAGTACTACCGTGCTCCAGAGTTAATTAGTTTAATCCAAATAAATAGCCCTGTATGTGTAGACACTGAGATGTTTACTGCAGAGCTAATTAGATAACTCCGCAGTAAATGGCTCATGTAGACATGTCCAGTGTGGAGTTCCATGGATTCAGTTATTCTGCACTGGCATCACATAGCTATCCTTAAAGCACAGAACCTCTGGAATTCTGGGGAGGGAATGTGGTTTAAACATTAGCAAAGGTACTGCTCAGCTATCTCTGAAAGCGAAGCATTCGGTAATTAAAAGGGTCAGGCTCTGCTCATTTATTCTGATTTGACCATGTGGCTTCCACAACCTTTGAAAGCAGGAAAGTCATGGATTTGGTCAAGAATTATCAACTTTTTAGCATCTGAAACATATTTGTTTTGTAACCGCAAGATGATGTTTTGAGAGAAAGAGAGAGATCACTTAAAATATTTTGAGACTTTTCTTTTGATTAATAAAAATACTGTGCAGTTCTGAATCATGAGAGAATTTCTATATGCTACTTACCTACACAACGAGGTGTTTTATTATGATTGCTCCATGTACCATCTGGCTGGCAGACTGCAGTAGTAAGCTCCTTGGATGAGAGTCTATACCCATCATTGCAAAAGTAAGTAACACGAGTGCCAACTAAGTAATCTGTAGTTAATATTCCACCATTAACTGGAGCTTTAGGAATGCCACAAGATATTGCTGAATTGAAACGAACAAACACAAAAGAATTAAATTTCATCTCAAATGCTCTGAAATTCATCAGTATATATTAAGAGCACACAGACTTACCTCTAGAAAATTTAGAGCCATGAAAGCATGGGAAGCTTACATTAATTAATTTGTGCTTTTAAAGACATTTGGGGTGGGAAAAGAAATAAAAGTTAGAATTCTGTAACTGACCAGATTGCAGAGGATGATGGAATAAAAAAGATCAGGAAAAAATGTGGGGAACATAGTCTAGCGGCTAAGTCAGTGAACAAACTCTAGAGAATTGGTTCTCAACTTTTTAGACAGAAGGCACGCCTTGATATACTCAAGGCACCCCTCAGAAAATACTACCTTTTACTTTTCACTCTTTTTCGACTACAGAAAAATCATAGAGTCATTTTACTGTTGCAAAGAACTCAGAAAGCCCATAACAGTTCAGAATGTTTTGAACACTATGAATTCCTATGTGAAATTTCTGGGTTTATCTTGAGAATCATGTTTGCATACCTAACAACACTAATACTGTATGGCACCCAGTGGCACCTTTGCAAAAGTCTCAAGGTACCCCAAGGTTACATGAAACCCTGATTGAATATCATTGCTCTAGAGAATTGGCTTCCACTCTTGGATGTTCTTCCCCCCTTCTTCTCTTCGCCTTACATTTGAACAAGGTGCTAGTAGTATACTTTCATTTTTTTTCTATCTACAAAATGGAAATACTAAAGCTTATTCACCTTTCATAAAATATGTTAAAATCTACAGATGAGAAGTGCTATTATATTGAGAAGTGCTCAATATAATAATAAATATTATTATTATTATTGTTGTTGTTACTATTATTATAAAGCAAGGATGAAAGGAGAGCAAAAAACTGCTCATATACCATTGTTACGCTTGCTGGGAACATAAGTTTTAGATGCCTGGTCACTGGCAAAAACCTGTAAGAGGCAAATTAGCAAAAAGTTTTAAAACATTATTTTTTCTAAATAAAATATTGTTAGGTCCTCTTTAGAAATCTCATTGTATTTATTCTTGTTATCTTTCCAAAGGGAAAAAAAAACATGGAGTTCTGGGCTCTGCACTTTAGGAAGGATGTGGAGAAGCTTGAGAGAGTGCAGAGGAGAGCCATGCACATGATCAGAGAACCAGAGAACAGGTCTTATGAGGAAAGGTTGAGAGACATGGGTCTCTTCAGCCTGGAAAAATGAAGGCTCTGGGGGTACTTGGTGGTGGCCTATTAGTATATTAGGGATGTGCACCAGGAACTGGGAGAACATCTGTTCACCAGGGCACCGCAAGGGAAGATAAGGTCTAATGGTCACAAACTCCAGGAACACCATTTTAAGCTGGACATAAGAAAAAACTTCTTTACTATCCAAGTCCCCTGAGTCTGGAATAGATTGCCCCCAGAATGGCGCAAGCACCTACTCTGGACACCTTTAAAACACACTTGGATGCTTATCTTGCTGGGATCATTTGACCGCAGCAGACCTCCTGCCCTTTGGGCAGGGGCTGGACCCAATCATCTTGTGAGGTCCCTTCCAGCCCTAATGTCTATGAATCTATGAGAAAAAAAACATTGTAAATGAGAATGTATTGCACACAAAATTAAACCTTTATGTAACACAAAACACATGAAAAACATATAAAAAAAATATAAAAAATGAGAATCTGTGCCCATTGAAAACTACTGCATAATAAAACAGCCACACATTTTTCTCAAAAGGTAAAAATTTTCTCAGTTTATGTTTGAGAAAGGGGTCATGCACAATCCTGATATTGATATAGTAGTTGACCACTGAAAGGGGAAAAATGGCAATATAACACCTAAAGTTAGTTACTGGCTGTGATGCTGATAGAACTATAGTTACTGAAAATGCTGACATAGTTGAAACACCAAACCTTTCACTGACTCTAAATAATGCTGCTCATCTTGGAAACCTTAGTTTGCTGGTGTGATGAATGTACCATTACTTCAGAATACAATTCCAATATGACTATCTTAGGGTTTCTAAAATGCTCCACACCATCTATTCACTAAAAAGGTGAATAGGTCTTCATGCTGACATCTAATTTGGATATAGCTCTTTTCAAATTAAAGAGGCACTGCTAGATTTTTCTTTGTTTATATAAAAAAATTGACATTAGTAGACAGTTTTACTCATATGGTGGGTCTTAGAGGTTTCTCTATAATCGTCAATTTTAGTTAAATATTCTCTGATAGCTCATTCCACAAATAATTGAACCTGGGGCTTGTGAGTCCTTGGCTAGTCTTTAACCATCTTTCCACTCATTACACTTGTTTCAAGCCATCATATCCTTTCTTGTTTTGTTAAGCAGAGTGGAGTTTTGTAACCTAGTCACAGAAAGAAAGATATTATATTAAATGTCATAGTCCTGCTGCTTTGCTTCTTAAGTGGAAATGAGTATCAATTCAATCATAAAAAAAATATTGATATGGTCCACCTTGAGATAAACAATAATGCTGGTTAATTGATGTTGATCCATAATATTACTTTAGCTCATTAAAATGATTAAATATTATTCCATTCATTCTAAAATCTTTAAGCAAAGAAGAAAAGCACTTTTATGAGCAAGCTGGTAGCTACAAAATGCATGGCTATGAACTAATTGCCACCATGAATGATATCATTGTATATCAGGCATTAACATGAGGAATCCAAGGCTTTTGGACTCTCTACTGCTGTAATAAGAACTGGACAATGAACTTCTACCAACTACAAATCTTAATAGCGAGGACGCCAATAATTCTTTATACTACACAGATGTGTATCTGGATGACTTCAATAGATACCAGCCATAATAAATTGGTAGTGTAAATTATGCATCTAGGGAGCAACTCACAGACTGAGCCTCTTTTTCAGATGTCTTCCTCCTTTTTTAATCCTAAACAACCAGGGGCTTTTCACTCAGTTAAATAGAACACCAAACAGATCCCAAAACTTTGCTTCTGATGAAAGATGATAGCAGTGTTTCCAAGAAGCCTCATAACTCCATTCAGAAATTTTCCTTACAGTCAACACTTCCCTATCCCCATCAGCCATGAAGTCCTGTTGACTGAATCTACACCTAAATGTGTTGGAATTTTCACAAAACAACCTGGATTGCATGTACTGGAGAAGATAGAGATGATATGTAAAGTGCAGAGCAGATCCCAGAAAACTGTTTCTGCTTTTGACAGTTGTCATAAAACATATTACTCATGAATAGGGAACTACCAAAATTGAGGTGGCTGCTGGCAGATTTTGCAGGGAGACTGGGGGCAAAGCAGCCATTTTTATGGGCCAAGCCTAGCACCTCCCTCCCCGGAATACCTTTGATTGGCTGAGGGGCCCCAAAAGTCCTTCCCTGCAGGTTGGCAGATGGCTTCTGTGAGCTGAATACAACAATTAAGCCCACAGATGCCATTAATTGATGCATTATTAAACAAGCTAAGTGGCCATTAATGGCTTCCATAGGCTTGATCAAGCCTGCAAAGTCCTTAATGGCCACTTAGAATTCTTAATAATGCATCAATTAATGGCTTCCATGGACTCCATCAGGGGATTAAGCCCATGGAAGCCATTAATTGACATATTATTAGAATTCTAAGCACTTAGTTAATGTCTAAAATGAAATATCTTAATAAAATAAAGCAATATAGATCATGAATTGCAAGTAATACCAAATATATTCACTCCATACACTTTACTAATTAACACCATTCTAAGCACCTACTTAAACTCTAAACTAAAATATCCTATGAAAAAAACTATGCACGACATGAATTGTAACTCATACCAACTACATATACTTTAATAAAGGACGTTATAAAAAGGAGTTGACTGAAACTGAATGTTAACCTTGAGACAGATAGTTTATGCTATGTATTAAATGCAAGCATGCTGCATCCAGCCACAGTCACTGGAAACATTCTCTGTCTCTTTGGGGTAAACATTTGTCCATCATCCTTCTCAAATATGGAAAAAAAAGGAAAGCTCTTTGATAACCAAGTTAGTTGGGAGGGTGTTACTGGCTAATCTCTCCTCCCATCACCTCATCTTCAAAATCAGAATGACGATGCTGAAAACAGGTTCTTGTCATTACAACAAAGAGCCTGGGTTGTAGCAGAACCTAAAGTTTGATAGACGTATCCATAACCTATGATGGTCTACAGAGGTATGGGTTACTGTTCAAGACATCAAAGATCCTAAAATGCCATAGCACTATAAGACTCTTGAATGAGCAGATCAGTAATACCTACAATTATGGGCTGGCTCTGTTCTGTCTCCTTCATTTAAAGAGCAGATTTACTTGACACAAAAAAATTGCACAATTTAATTTCATAGAATCATAGAATCATAGAAGTAGGGTCGGAAGGGACCTTGTAGATCTTCAGGTCCAACCCCCAGCCTGGGCGGGAGAAAAGACTGGACTCAAATGAGTTCAGCCAGGTAGTCATCAAGCCTCTTCTTAAAGATCCCCATGGTAGGAGCCAGCACCACTTCCCTAGGAAGTTGGTTCCAGCTCCTAGCCACCCTAACTGTGAAGTAGCTCTTGCGGAGGTCTAATCTAAACCTACTCTCTAATAATTTGTGTCCATTGTTCCTTGTCATGCCAGGGGGCGCTAGGGGAAACAGTGTCTCCCCTAAACCCTTCTGGTCCCCCCTAGTGAGTTTATAGACGGTCACCAGGTCCCCCCTCAGCCTTCTCTTGTGAAGGCTGAACAGGTTTAGGTCC